AAACAATTGTGAGAAAATAAAAAGAAGAAACACTGGAAAAAAACTATGATCTTGAAAGTGAGGTTAAGGTTGAAGTCTGATGTATTAGTGTTGGTATAATAATCTATGGGTGTTATTCATTCCGTTCTAATATATTCATTCGATGGTCAAACAATTGTGAGAAAACAAATAAATACATTCAAAGTTTCCTTTGCGTATGTCCCTTTATTTTATTACGCGTTCAATAAATTATCAAACGGTACAGTGATTCGAGGAGTGCAAGAGGAGAAGAGTAGGAAGTAGTATCGGATAAGTTTGTTCAAACAAATCAATAATTCGCGAAATATTAACACTGTGCAAATATAAATAATTGTTTTCTTTTTGTTTTTTTTTTGGTTCTAATGCAGTAAAAAATAAAATAAAAAACAACAATAACAACACAACGAAATAATTATTTGTTCGTGCGACAAATTGAAATTACTGCACAATTTACAATTATTAAACAATTAAATAATTACATATATATATATATATATAAAATAAAGTTGTAAAAATCGCGAGACTTGTGTTGTTTTGGAAAAAAAAAACAAAACAAAAAGAAAGAAAGAAAAAAAAAACTGGTCATATATCAATGGTTAAATATTTTGGAATATTTTTCCGTTAATTATCATTCCGCTCTTGGCCTTCCTCAATAGTTTCTAATTTTACATTTGTTTATTGTTTTCCAACCGAACTTGATTAGTAAATAAAAAACTGACCTCGTTGGATCGTTTGTTAAGGGGTTACATGGGTTTGGGACTTTCAAACAAATTTTTTTTTTTTATCTTTTCAAATTCCACAACTCATCTAGAATATTGTATTCAATTTTGAAGTCGATAGGAGTAGTAGTTTTAAAAATAGAGCCTTGGGAAGTTCCACTCTTTAATGGCTCTTATACCAGCACTCAAATCTTTAAACGCGTTTTTCTCAAAACGCATTTTCTAAAGTCGTTTGTCAAGATTTCTCGAAAACTATTGAACCGATTTTCATGAAATTTGCTACGCGTCTTCGTGATACTATTGACAAGGACTTGGACGAAGAAGTTTCGTTTTTTTTTCATAAAATCGAATTTTAAGAAACCAAAATGTGATGAAAATTGTAACGAAATTTGAATGTTCTTGCTAAAAACGTTGCCAAAAATCCAAATTTCAATTTTTTTCTTTTTCCTTCGTCCAGTTTCTAGTTTTAAGTATTCACTAAAAGAGCCTATTTTTTCAACAGAAAAACCCTCACCGTTTATAAGTTCTGCTGTCAACGCGGAAACACTTTTTTTCGGTGGGGTCACCGGAAATGACGTCGCAATGGCTGAGTTTGAAATATTTATGAACCAAAATTTCAGAAAATGTTCTTTAAATATGTATCTTAAATGCTATAAAAAGTTTGAATAAGAATTCCACTTTTTATATAGAAAAAAAAATTGTTGAATATATGCTATTTTTTTCTCGGTGTAAACCCATGTAACCCCTTAAATGAATCATTCGTATTTGCAATATCGATTGAATTTATTTTCACCATCCTCCCTAACGTTTCAAAATGTGTAATTTTTTTTTTATTTCTTTTTGTTTCAAACAAATGTCATTTATATAAAATCGCTATCGTACGAAAATTATTCCTCCGGAATATTTTCTTTTTCGTGGAAAAATTCTATCAAATGAATCATTCACACGATGAATTTAAATTACATCGAGTGTCGTCATGAAAACATTTATATTTTTGCATTATTCGTAGGTGGTAATTCTACATACATGTAATAATCATGAATGATTCTTGTTAATCATCTTCGAACCTATGAATCATTCGCGATTATTTACATAAAATACATTTATTCTTGAAATGAATTATTGTGTTTAAATTTTTAATCGTATTCTTCTTCATTACATTGTTTTTAGATTTATTACTTTCCGTTCGGAAAATGTTCTAATTAATTCGTTTACGCAATAGGTATATCGACATCTTTTGTTTTTTTTTTTTTTTTACCTCTGTTTCTCTTTTATTTTTTGTTTTTGTTTAATAACAAAACGTAACAACCGTCGATAAATATAAGTTGAGTAAAAGAAAAAATTACGATGGCAAAATTATTTTCGTAAGAATTCAAATGATCTTTTTAGTAGATGGGAAGGGGGAGAATAATCTGAAAACGGTTTTTCGGATAATTTCTTTCTTTTTTAACCTTTTTTTTCTTTCTTTTGATATATAGGTCAAAAGTTATTTTCGTTTGAAGCAGCCGTTACTATAGCACTCACTCACTCACTAAACTCATTCGGGATCACTTCGTCGTTCTTTTTTTTTTCTGTTTCTTCATTTTAGAAAGTATAACTTGATAAGAATTATTTTTTAGTGTTTTTTGTTGTTCTCAAGATTTTTACCCGTTTTACGTTTCTTAATATAATATCATGTATTTGAAAATCTGTGAAAAAGAAAAACAAAAAATGTGTATTTATGTACGCACGTAAGAAATTATACTTATTTAGCGTAACACAAAACGAATATAACCTCAATAACCTCAAAAATAACTTCTTCCAAAAAAAAAAACCATCAACATGAAAAATAACTGCAATTATCTCGCGTGCCAATATAATACTTACTCTAAATTTAAAATATAAATCTAATTAATTATATTTATAATATTATAATTGTTGACAATTTGTAATA